ACAGAACACAGCTGTATTGAAGACTCGGGCACAGAGGGCATCATCTACAGAACACAGCTGTATTGAAGACTTGGACACAGAGGTCATCATCTACAGAGCAAAGTTGTATTGAAGACTTGGACACAATTGCATCATCTACAGAACAATCTGTATTGAAGACATGGACACAGAGGTCATCATCTACAGAACACAGCTGTATTGAAGACTTGGACACAGAAGTCATCATCTACAGAACACAGCTGTATTGAAGACTTGGACACAGAGGGCACCATCTACAGAACACAGCTGTATTGGAGACTCGGACACAGGGCATCATCTACAGAACAAAGCTTTCTCTCTCTCTCTCTCTCTCTCCTCTCTCTCTCTCTCTCTCTCTCTCTCGTTGTTAAAAGGAGAAAAAAACCATTTACAATGCAGTAACGTAAGGAAGTAGTGCGTATTATCAGCATCAATTCACAGTCGTGTTTGCACCGAAGAGACAGCGCCCTAATGGGTGAACCCTCCAGTTGAAATCCCCGCCGCAGGTATAGGTCATGTCGGTCAAGGACAAAGGTGTTAATTGAAATGGAATCCATTTTGTTTTATCTCGTCCTACATTTGTAATTACAAATCCTTACATATAGAAGACGCTTGTATTGTAGTATCGGCGTCCCCACAACCACGTACGCTGTCGGGGGGATTAAGTAAATCAGATGCAATTATAAGCTGAACAGAATTTATGTCCCTTCCTTAGGCTGCGCCTTAGGAGGTGAATGCATGCATATTAACATACAGATAGACTTGTTTCTGTTTGAACATTTTCGAAACATTTATACAATTAGTTTATTGTGACTTTGAAGGTGTAAAATATATACAGAAATGAATTAGAAAGAAAAAAACTGTTAACATATCTGATGTCACAAAGTGGCAAGTTGGGTTGCCGGAAGAAGTTAGTCAAGATGCCTAGTCATGAAAAAAATATATGTTTTATATAAGTTAAACCGAAACGGAATGTTTTGAGAGCAGTGTCTTTAAACAACCCAATTCGTATTTTGGTATTTTCTAAACGTATAGTATAAGAATCTAACCTGCTGGATCCTACCACTGTCGGGAGAGTCAATACTGGCGGTAATTAGTTAGTGCTGGGTCAACCAGGGGATAGCTGCCCATGTAACGTGTAAATAAATCATTGCATTATTGACGGAGATTATCCATGTAGCGTACCTGTCAAGTAACGGATTTTGTGTCCATAGACACGCTGACAGGGTTGTATTACTCAAGGCCATTTACTGAACATGCACGTGTCTTTGTTAATTACTTGTATCTGTCTAGGTTATTTCTTGACAACGCCATTAGCAACAAGTTGCGTGATAGTGACTCAGTACGTTTACGCATATTTAACAGTTTCAGTGCGTTTCTTGGTAGTAATTAAAACACAGCACTGTGAACAAGAAAATCAATATCCTTAATAGGTAGTTCGTGTAAGTTACAAACTTTAAAAAAGAAGCGAATTAACTATCGCACAAATCTATTTTTAGGACCACATGTTGTTCCTTGGACAACGCCAGTGTTGGGATTCAGCTGGAAGAGTGGTCAGGATAACAGGTGCTTTGTAACAGTCTTTACAATACTGAGGGATGTGACAGTCCCACATCGAATGGAAGATTAACATGCGCGTATGAAAGTATCTACCACAACGTGAGCACCTGGTGTCTCACCACATCATGACAACCACCCAAACACGCTGTGTCCAGTAATGGTAAGGCTGTAACTGGTCATGGCGGCGTGTCACAAGGTTTTGACTGCAACAACAGTAAATCTTCTACATCCCCATAGGGGAGTTCAAATAAATACATAAATATACAATGTCATGGTCTCAAGCTTTCGGCCTCCCAGCCTTCGTGAGACTCCCACTGTTGGTCTCCCACTACATTATTCAAGATCCTTTTTCAGTGCAGGCTGTTTTCTCAATATTCCCGTCTTAATGTTGGAGAGTGTGTACTACTACTGTGTATACCTATGTTAAAACAGTTTTGATGTCATATCGCTAGGATTGAATAACCAGATGAAAATCCTGACGCTATCGCCGTTGATAAATCTGAACGAGAATAACCAGTGGTTGACAGTATGAGCAACGATACAGGTCGTCGAGGTATGATGTAGCCTCGGTTCAAACTATCATGGTGACCTGTTTCGTTTAATGTCGCCTAAGGGAATCCTGTCCTTTCATGACAGAGAGGTGACCTCTGTTAACTTTTGCTATATGGATAGGGTCCTGTGTTATACGGTAACCCCTGTTGTCTTGAGTTATTCGGAAACTTCTGTTGTCTTGTGTTATACGGTAGCCCATGTTGTCCTGTATTATACGGTAGCCCCTGTTGTCCTGTATTATACGGTAGCCCCTGTTGTCCTGTATTATACGGTAGCCCCTGTTGTCCTGTATTATACGGTAGCCCCTGTTGTCCTGTATTATACGGTACCCCATGTTGCCCTGTGTTATACGGTAGCCCCTGTTGTCCTGTATTATACGGTAGCCCCTGTTGTCCTGTGTTATACGGTAGCCCAAGTTGCCTGGTGTTATACGGTAGCCCCTGTTGTCCTGTGTTATACGGTAGCCCCTGTTGTCCTGTATTATACGGTAGCCCCTGTTGTCCTGTGTTATACGGTAGCCCCTGTTGTCCTGTATTATACGGTAGCCCCTGTTGTCCTGTGTTATACGGTAGCCCATGTTGTCCTGTGTTATACGGTAGCCCCTGTTGTCCTGTGTTATACGGTAGCCCATGTTGCCTGGTGTTATACGGTAGCCCCTGTTGTCCTGTGTTATACGGTAGCCCCTGTTGTCCTGTGTTATACGGTAACCCCTGCTGTCCTGTATTATACGGTAGCCCCTGCTGTCCTGTGTTATGCGGTAACCCCTGTTGTCCTGTGTTCATCTTCCGAAGGCAAGTGAGTTAACTGACTATAAAAGTCCAGTTTCCACCCTTGCCGAACTAGGCTGGAATTCCTGGGCTCGACCGTAGCGTCACCAGTGGCTATTGCGAGTTATGTCCTTTCTTTGCCTCTCCTACTGACCAATCAGATTCAACCTCTCGCATTTGCTTCAAACAAAACGGTGGCGCCCAGTGATAAAACGAGTCTTACATCGCGAAGTGCATCAAATCACGTGAGCACCTTGATTAAAAACATGAAAAGATTTAGAAAATATCTGTTGACAACGAGTTAGCGGTGCACATGCTTTGCAAATGCTGCAGTCGACCGATATCTGCATGACACTTTACGAACCGGATTTCGATTTCGGTGCGCGATTTTGATAGGACTATGCATAGACTCGTTAGTCCAGCCAAAATGTAACTCCATAATACCAGCCTAGTTCGGCAAGGGTGGAAACTGGACTTTTATAGTCAGTTAACTCACTTGCCTTGGGAAGATGGCCTGTGTTATACGGTAGCCCCTGTTGTCCTGTGTTATACGGTAGCCCCTGTTGTCCTGTGTTATACGGTAGCCCCTGTTGTCCTGTGTTATACGGTAGCCCCTGTTGTCCTGTGTGGTACGGAAGCCTGCCTCATGTGAAACGGTACCCTCTTGTACCTTACCTTGTTTTATAACCTTCAGATTCCGTTATACCACTCGCGTAGGCTTGCTTCTTTTATTACTGACCCAAGATAGCACGCATGCAATCTCAAGCACAAGGTGAGCAGGCAATGACTATTTGAGCTTCCGTCATTAATAATAAACCAAAGAGGGGTTATCAGATGAGATCAGGTGAAGAGATTTAATCTATACTGTGATTAATTGACTTCAACGCCACAGCTCAGAAAATGTCTTGAATGACACAATATGAAGATGTGCGCAGTTCTTACGACCGCAGCTAAACAACACAGCTTCCTGCTAACTTGAACTAGTTCATGTCCTTTGCACAAACACATACATTGGTATACATCACCTGGCCTGGCGGTCCTGTTAGCATCAGCTGCCTCTGTCATACAAGTGCAGTCCCTGTCTGAAACTGCTTTGATATATTTAAGACATGTTGCTAAATAAATAATGTTGGTAGCTTAATAAGTTATGATATTCTCACACAACAGCGCCTGTAGAGTCCAGTGTATTGCGAACCCTCGTTAATGTGGAACGTACCGTTCAAAGTGAAAGCGTCCAGTGTACAGCGAACCCTGGAATTCTGGTAATTTTTATCGAAACAAATAAATTGTCACTGAAAATTCTTGAAAAATATGATTATGCTTCAGACTGTTGATATAAAAGAATTTGCTGCCACAAAATACATAGTAGCAAGGTGCTCATATTTGTAAATCAAAACATTCTACATTTGTCAGAATACGCTAATTTAAAAGCGTATATTTACGTTTCTTTTGTGAATTAGAAATTGCCAAATGTCCTTCAAATATCAGTTCCAAACCGGGACAAATATGTATATAGGTGATTGTCAACACAGAGCCTGATTCCGTTCACGCGTCATCTTCCGACAACAAAACAAACGCAGACACCTTCGTCTGTTAATAACTCCATGGACAATACCACGTTCGTCAGTTGTATGAGAATATGAGACTCCTCTGAATATTTCAATACTGCACCAACGCAATGTACATGCTGGTATGTTGTGATAAAAGTATATTAGATAATCAGCACCCCGTGTCATCTCATGTTTGACAAAAAATACAATCAAAATCCATTCAGGCAACCCCGTAATGGAATATACACTCAGGTACATTAATTCGTTTGTAAGGTTATAGAACCGTGGAGGGATATTGGACCGTAGAGAGTAGGAAAACTCACATCAACAAATATTATTCTGGAATATTCTCAATTCCGACAAAACATCACAGAGAAAGCCCCATTAAATACGTTATATACACCTTGACAGACGATGACCTGCGACCAATCAATGAAAAACGCAGGTTTACTAGGTCCCGAACGTAGCGAGATTGCGTGCAACAGGTAGAAAACATGATCCAATATCCCGAGCAACGCGTGTCACGTGATCACCGGTATTGCCGGTTGTCCCTCGATACGTAGTGTAAACAAAGCCGTGGATAAAAGCGCGCCCCACCTAGCCCCGGATCACAAGCGCCTCTCCGTCCAGCCACTTCAAGGTCTCTGTGAGAGTAAAGCTCTTTGTTAACTGTCCTCTACCTTCCTCGCTAACTCGCAACAACAAAAATGGTAAGTAGACAATTATATTTTTGGGTTTTTTTTACATAAAAAAATACATCCTTAATTTATCCCATTGGAAAGTTAATTCGCTAATAGGTTAAATACGGCAGAATCTAGAAGCCCTTATCGATAGATATATCGGAATGACTTTTTGGAAGTAAATTAATTTAATCAATCTTTCTAATGCAGTGGTCTTTCTTGGGTCATAACCTGACAATAACGTACGAAAATGTCTTTAACGTTGATGACACAATGTCAGTGATCTTCCTCAGTGTGATTTCCGGTTAAATTTCAAAATGCCTTCACTAACCAAGGAAAATGTACATCAAAAGTTATATAAATGTATTTTAAGTCTCACGTTGTCACAAACCACCATCTGCCACGTTGCTCTGAGAAGTGCAATTCAAGTAGCTCGTGACGCTATTTCCCGCCCAGTTGCCTTTGTGTGAGCCTGCTTGAACAAACACCGTTAGCTTACCAGTTCCCTCTTTCAACATCTGAGTCAGATTGTTGGCTTCAGGTACGCTGGGTGGATATTGTCGTCGGTCATACATGTTTTATACATAACACTCACCATACACCCGCTATAACAATATTGGTTCACAATTAATCGTGGCCGTTGGGAGTATCACATTACTGTCGCTATTGCAGTACCTGTACACGATATGTCCATAGTTGGTCGAGATTGACGTCATATTCCAGTGTTTTAGCATTACAAAGTTCTTAGAAAGACGTTTAATAATCTGAATTAAAAAAGCTTCAAATCGGTTTGAGGCGGTTTTCTTGAATCCATTCACACAGGCTTTAAACCTGAAATAGGTCAGCCACACAATGCAAGTTGACCCGCAGCCTCCCGTCAGGTGCATTGTGCAGGGGTGTTCTCAAATGTTGTGAAAACATTAAAAGGGTTAATTGAAACATGTCAGGACGTGAGACATCAATGTTATTGATATGTCAACAAGCATCTCTTTACTCAAAGACCCATAGGAAAAAACAGTTGATTATTAAAACAAGGTAGTGTATACAGAAATGTATTACAATTATCATGACATGGTCCCCGCAGGTCGGCCAAAACAAGATTTCGTTTCCATGCCTAAAGCCCCACATCACTACGGCTTCAGGGGTCGCCTGAGGGACGAGGAAATGAAAACCACTTCTTTCACAACAAAGGGAATTTTAGCCGGTCGCACAATATCTAATGAGATCCAAGGTTGATCTAAGTACAGCCTCGCCGACCAAGGGCTAATTATATACGCCGGCATAATGGAAAGTTATACTAATTTCATTCCGAACTGGGAGGCCTTAGGTCGTTTGATCGTGAATAATTGAATAGAAGCTTAATTACAGAGCACCTTGACACGAACGACCTGCCCAGCTGATTTTGTTCTGGGCGATGTGTTACGTACTAAGAGTGATTAAGTCACATGCTTTTCTATTTAAGGGAGTGCCTATTTGATATTCTGAGAGTGCTAGGATTCCCCCAAAAGTCTTGAAATGAATAATTATGCTGCAGTCTGTTGAAAAATAAGAATATGCCGTTTAAAATAATCAGGCTCAATTTTTTTAAAGAATATCAGGTTTTGTAGCTGAATCTGATTAAATATTTAATCTCGATACAAATTACCAGCTTCCCCCAACCCCCAACCACCCACCCCCCAAAAAAATAATATAATAAAATTAAATTAAAATAAATAAATAAAATTTATTTATTTTTAAATGATCGGCCCCAAATATTAAAACTATTCAGTAATTGAGTGCTTTCGATCATTGTACGTTGAAATGGATATTATTTCAAAATTTTGTAATTATTCGTGTTTTTAATTGGACAGATTATTTTAATTAATCTGAATCATGGTCGGTAGTCAGTATGTTTTAATTTTAATTATTAATTATTTTGTTTACAGAGGGAATGCATCTCAGTCCACGTCGGCCAGGCCGGAGTCCAGATGGGCAATGCATGCTGGGAGTTGTATTGTCTGGAGCACGGCATCCAGCCTGATGGTCAGATGCCCTCAGACAAGACCATCGGGGGTGGGGATGACTCCTTCAACACTTTCTTCAGCGAGACTGGAGCGGGGAAACACGTCCCCAGGGCCGTCTTCGTCGACCTCGAACCCACTGTTGTCGGTATGGAATTTTTCAAAATACAAAAAAACCAAAAACACAAGTGATGCGTAATTTTAAGGGTTGATCAGCAAAACGTTCATTGTATATTTATCAGTTAGTGTGTTTCAGTATTCATTTTCCTTTTGTGCAAAGGTCATCCGATACCAGACTCATATCTCATCTCATGGCTCTCCCAACTTATCTTCTGCAGATGAGGTCCGTACCGGCACCTACCGCCAGCTATTCCACCCCGAGCAGCTGATCACCGGCAAGGAGGACGCCGCCAACAACTACGCCCGTGGCCACTACACCATCGGCAAAGAGATCGTGGACCTCGTCCTTGACCGCATCAGGAAGCTAGCTGACCAGTGCACTGGACTCCAGGGCTTCCTCATCTTCCACAGCTTCGGTGGCGGCACTGGCTCCGGCTTCACCTCACTGTTGATGGAGCGTCTTAGCGTCGATTACGGCAAGAAATCCAAGCTTGAGTTTGCCGTTTATCCCGCTCCTCAGGTCTCTACTGCCGTCGTGGAGCCCTACAACTCCATCCTGACCACCCACACCACCCTGGAACACTCCGACTGCGCCTTCATGGTCGACAACGAGGCTATCTACGACATCTGCCGCCGCAACCTTGACATTGAGCGTCCAACGTACACCAACCTGAACCGACTCATTGGTCAGATCGTCAGCTCCATCACTGCCTCGCTCCGATTTGACGGTGCCCTGAACGTTGATCTGACGGAGTTCCAGACCAACTTGGTGCCCTACCCACGTATCCACTTCCCTCTGGCTACCTATGCACCAGTTATCTCCGCCGAGAAAGCCTACCATGAACAGCTCTCTGTGTCCGAGATCACTAACGCCACATTTGAGCCCGCTAACCAGATGGTAAAGTGTGACCCCCGTCACGGAAAGTACATGGCCTGCTGCATGCTGTACCGTGGTGACGTCGTCCCGAAGGACGTCAACGCTGCCATTGCAACCATCAAGACCAAGAGAACCATCCAGTTCGTCGACTGGTGTCCCACTGGTTTCAAGGTCGGCATCAACTACCAACCACCAACTGTTGTCCCCGGTGGTGACCTAGCCAAGGTCCAAAGAGCTGTCTGCATGTTGAGCAACACCACAGCTATCGCCGAGGCCTGGGCTCGTCTTGACCACAAGTTCGACCTGATGTATGCCAAGCGTGCCTTCGTCCACTGGTACGTGGGTGAGGGTATGGAGGAGGGAGAGTTCTCCGAGGCCCGTGAGGACTTGGCTGCTCTGGAGAAGGACTATGAAGAGGTTGGAGTCGACTCAGTTGAGGGCGAGGGCGAGGAGGAAGGAGAGGAATATTAAACAGGCTGTCACACAGCCTCCATAAACAATGCAACGATGAGCTGAATAAACAAATAAAAAAAATTTTTTTGCATTCTTGTGTGTAACACATATATTTACTCATCAACACATACAAAATTGCAATAACTTCGCAGTCGGCTTCCAGTGTTCATCCAAAGTATACATACCACCCATATAATTAATCAAAGGTTAAATATCAAGGTCTTTTAACGGGATTACATGAGATTGACGTAAACGCTAACCTTTAGTTAAAAATTAATTGCCAGATAATATATTTGTGTCGGCCGACATCAGACAGGCCATATCCAACACAATGAACTTAATCGGTTCTCTATACATCATTAAATTCTAGTACAAAGATCGTATAGGAGAAGTGTGGCGGTTGGCTCTTAACACTGCCAGATCAATGTGCTTCGCGAAAATGATAAACCATTATACTTCCTTTCGATCTATATCTATATTACAACGAGGGGACACGGGTGGCCCAGTCGTCTAAGGCCCCACGATTCGCTGTGCAGAGTTGCGTCCCTTGGGCACGCCAGAAACATGATAGTGGGTTCGAATCCTGGTTCGCCCCGATTATGTTTCTAGGTTTGTCAGACTATACCCGTGCTCGTGGGTTTCACCGAAGTGGTAAACGTCTGAGACCTGCATCACTTGGGACTTTCCTCCCACATTAAGCTGACACGCCGTGATTTAACTGGAATACTGTTAAAAGCGGCGTTAAACCCAACTCACTCACTATATTGCAACGAAAAGATGACACGCTGTCTTTGTGTTCCTCCAACTGACAGGAACAGATTGGTCATTTCAAATGTTGCATTGATACAGGAAACATGACGCGTTAAGATAAACAGACTTACTATTAATTTCTCTCACCGAACCATGAGCTGGTTATACTCCATCAATTTGCCTAAATCTAGTTGTGTAAACCTCCGAGATGGTAACACAGCAAGAATTATAATGCTTTCCTCGAGGGGGATTCACGGGAAAGTTTTCATTTTAAAATATGTTTAGTATATTGTACGCAATCAACTCTCCATGGGTGTGCCGAAAAAATATAAACCGTGGATTTGCTCAGTTAATTTGAGGGGCAGCAAGGAAATCTGAACAGGTATATTCTTCTTAAATTCTGACAGGGATTTTGATATATCCATTAACACACTTTTGTCCTTTTACGACGCGCAGAGTCGCGCAAGTAATCGATCCAACTAAAACCAGATCTTTGACTCCGATACGACATTTCTCTTAGCTCAGAAAGGTGTCGTATCGTAGTCAAAGATCTGATTATAACGAGATTGACAACTTATGGAAATGTGTGCTGGGCTTCGTTGCAATAGCGGATACTGTTGCTATGACAACAAATGCAAGCTATCAATGACATTCAGCCGAATTCAGACTTTCACTATCAGAAGTATACACCACATTTTCCTTTTGAAGCGCTGGTAAAATACATAATCAGTTGCCACTATGAGGCCAAAAATCTTTCCTCATTCAGATAATTGTACAGCCAGCCGTGTGGGTTACAATATACACCACAACTTGATAGAATGAATATTCGGGTGTTCACTCAGTCCTGGCTTCCTGTGGTATATAACTCATGGATATATACATTCAAAACGTCAACGCTAGAGTGTCACTCTCGCATATCTGCTGGAACAGATTCTATACGCCGTAGGTGATGACACCGAGTGTTCGCTTATAAGGTAAGCATGTCTCGCCCTACCAGTAGCACCAGACACTCACAGTTTTCATAAAAAAGTAAATGGCAGTGAATAAGATTTGTTTGCTTGTTGTTTAACGTCGCACTCAGCTGGAATATTCCGCGTGTGACTTTAAAACGACAATGAAACGTTATATACATTGGCAGTAATGTGTCCGGTCTCCACGGCCAGATATCGGGGTCTCAGGTATGTACCTAGGCAGATATAAAATTAGCAACAGACAAGCTCTTGATTTACTGACATCAGTTGTCTCGTCCAGAGTGGATCTTCCTGGAGAAATTGGAGATGTCAATTGCCTCGAGCGAGAGTCCATTTTCCGAGTCTGACTATATCATGTGTTTTCTATCAAATAGTGGTGACACCAGGTGTTTGTGAAATGATGCTAACCATAGTTCAACCAACTTGTTGATCATTGCTCAAAGACTCCAGCATGGACCATTGCTCACAGCATCCTGCGTGGATTATTGCTCACAACATCCTGCATGAACTATTGCTCACAGCATCCTGCATGGATTATTGCTCACAGCATCCTGCATGGATTATTGCTCACAGCATCCTGCATGAACTATTGCTCACAGCATCCTTCATGGATTATTGCTCACAGCATCCTGCATGAACTATTGCTCACAGCATCCTTCATGGATTATTGCTCATAGCATCCTTCATGGATTATTGCTCACAGCATCCTTCATGGATTATTGCTCACAGCATCCTGCATGAACTATTGCTCATAGTATCCTGCATGAACAATTGCTGTTAGCATCCTGCATGTATTATTGCTCATAGCATTCTGCATTGATCATTGCTCACATCATTCTGCATGGATTATTGCTCATAGCATCCAGCATGGATCATTGCTCATAGTATCCTGCATGAACAATTGCTGTTAGCAGCCTGCATGTATTATTGCTCATAGCATTCTGCATGGATTATTGCTCATAGCATCCAGCATGGATCATTGCTCATAGTATCCTGCATGGATTATTGCTCATAGCATCCAGCATGGACCATTGCTCATAGCATCCAGCATGGGCCATTTCTCATAGCATCCTGCAAGGATAATTGTTCATAGCATCCTGCATGGATCATTGCTCATAGCATCCTGCATGGATCATTGCTCATAGCATCCTGCATGGACCATTGCTCATAGCATCCTGCAAGGATAATTGCTCATAGCATCCTGCAAGGATAATTGCTCATAGCATCCTGCATGGACCATTGTTCACAACATCCTGCATGGATCATTGGTCATACCATCCTGCATGGATCATTGCTTATAGCATCCTACATGGATCATTGCTCATAGCATCCTGCATGGATCATTCCTCATAGTACCTTGCATGGATTATTGCTCATAGCATCCTGCATGGATTATTGCTCATAGCATTCTGCATGGATCATTGCTCACAGTAGTCTGCATGGATTATTGCTCACAACATCCTGCATGGATCATTGCTCATAGCATCCTGCATGGATCATTGCTCATAGCATCCTGCATGGATCATTGCTCATAGCATCCTGCATGGATTATTGCTCACAACATCCTGCATGGATCATTGCTCATAGCATCCTGCATGGATTATTGCTCACAACATCCAGCATGAACCATTGTTCATAGCACCCTGCATGGATCATTGCTCATAGCATCCTGCATGGATTATTGCTCACAACATCCTGCATGGATCATTGCTCATAGCATCCTGCATGGATTATTGCTCACAACATCCTGCATGGATCATTGATCATAGCATCCTGCATGGATCATTGCTCACAGCATCCTGCATGGATTATTGCTCACAACATCCTGCAAGGATCATTGCTCACAACATCCTGCATGGATCATTGCTCATAGCATCCTGCATGGATCATTGCTCACAGCATCCTGCATGGATTATTGCTCATAGCATCCTGCATGGATCATTGCTCATAGCATCCTGCATGGATTATTGCTCACAACATCCTGCATGGATCATTGCTCATAGCATCAAAAATGGATCATTGCTCTTAGCATCAAAAATGGATCATTGCTCATAGCATCCAACGTAGATCATTGCTCATAGCATCCAAGTAGTTTATCAGTCATGGCCACCAGTATGGATCATCGGTCATAGCATTGCTCACAACATCCGGCGTGGATCATCAGTCATAGCTTCTGGTGTGGATCAATGCTCATAGTATCTAGCGTGGATTTCAATGTAAAAGATGTCATCATTGGAGTACAGTATTGATTCCCGTGAGGAGGTAACCTTTAGTCCAAGTACCAAACCTCTCATCCCTCTTTATCAATGATAAAATGTCTGTATTGGCCTTGATGAACTGCATCCTACCAGACATGTTCTGAAAGACTATTTATTGAATAATGTTTCCTTCAAGAGAAGTCACATTATCGATAATCCCAAAACCTCCAAGAAGTAGGGGTTGATGGCCCTTCTGACCCTGTACATCACGACTAACCTCCACATAGTGACAAAAGTCAATATGAATGTTATACACTGGACAGAATGCCGACATACATTATATAGCTAACCCAATGATTCATTACAGTAAGTGTAAACATAGTGCAACACAGTAACCACCTAATACCACGAATATGACAGGATTTATTTGCATTCACCTCACACTAAAATCATATCTTGTCACAAAATACACTGATTCTTGTATATGACCAAAAAACATTATCCGCGTTATTTACTACGGAGCCGTGTAGGTTGACATGTGACGATGAGATATCGATAGAAACCATCCACGTTGTCTTGTCTCCAGGCTTCTTGTGCAGTCCTTTGGTTGTGATGTGTTCCACATTGGGAACAAGTCAGGAACGTGTGGTCTACACAAACACTATGCAAACTTCATAACCAACCCTGATAAATAACAGCGGCAAACCCTTTTCCATGATCATAAGCAATCTCTACTAAAAGCAGGGTACATGGTACGATTTCGACTACATCATAGGCTTGTTTTTTAATCACTATCAAATGGTGATGATACCAGATGGTCGCGGAAAGGTGAGAGTATCCTACCCCGCCGATGGCACCGTCATAAAAACATACCAGGGCAAGTCAATTGTTAACCTGCTAAATACACGGAAACATATGGTACAAAGCAAACTAAGGAATTGCATCGGACATAGTGTTTGTCACCAATGCGGCAAATTTGGAAAATGGATAAAACACTTTATCAGCTGTATACCGACCATTACGTGTAAGCCTCCAATTTGATGTTGTGAAAAACATAAGGAATTCCAAGCATGATAACACGGAGACGAACCTGGCATTGTCATTTAGAATATATGTATAAATAGTATGCTGTTATAGAAACCTACGTATGTCTACCCTGTCCAATCAGAAGGTGGAGCTGTATACCTACAAATGCTACAGTAACCCCAGGTATATTCATACTGGTATAACATCTGTAAGTGGCACTATAGAAATTGTAGTATAATGACGGAAGACAGAGTTTCGATGGTACACATAATCAACACACAGCAGTTTTGTAATCTAGAAACTACTTGGCAGTCTGTTCCTGATGGCTGCACGAGCAAGACACGAGTTGTATAACTGATGCGTCGTTCTTGATGTTCTTCAAAGTGAGGAAATATGAAAAGTCAAGGCCAGAGAATAATCAGTCTCGATGATAATATCTGCCAAAACAGATTCGATTGGGTTTAAAAGACAAAACAGTGGATATAATTCCATGAATGGATCGCTGAAAATGAGCGACGTGTAAACGAAGAGGGTAAGCATTTCCACGTTACCGGCAGCACCCGCCAAATAACAACATTTGCATACAAAAGCTTGTGTTTGTGGCCTACCGCCGAACAGCAGGCCCCTGTCACGCCATGGCGACATGCAGTCAGTGGTTTCGGTTCCTCAAAAATATTAGTTTTATATGGTCTCTGATGTCATTTGTTCATTTGAAATAAAACAAAACGTCATGTCAATGCCCACTCACTTCATGTGCAAGTGTCTAATGTAAACCAAAGCACACACGTCCATACAAGCCTCGCGCTAATAGCTATGTAGAAAGGTTAAACTTTAACTCAGCCAATCTTTTTATAAAACAATCTCATCAAAATCAGATCTTAGTTCTCGCTACTGCTAAACAAAGATCCGAGGACACCCTATTACAGGTCACGTCAGAACGACCTTTCAGATCAGGAAAGTAACAGTAGGAATTTGTTTTCTGATCATGCAACCCTGAAAAGGTTAAGGCGGTGCATTCAATTGGATAAACATCTGAACGGAAGAGACTTTGCATAGCCTCATGGGAAGTGTTGCTGTACAATCTCTGCCATTTATTATACATTCCAAAATGTGTTTTTGTTTATTTTTCAAATTTGCAATCGAAACATTTGTCCAACTAAATCTAAACGTAGTCTTGAATGTCACCAGTTTGAAACTAGTGCCGTATAGCTCGAGAAAGATGCTTTTCTTACAAGAATGTGACATCATCGTTCTGTAACGTTAAGACCTCACGCACATCCTTGACATTATCCGTTATGTTCGGCCTGAAGAGGCTGGTTTGAGCCCTCATTTGTCGTCGTAAAAACAGTTATGTATGGAGACTTTTGGGTTGAAGGATTTGGAGAAACTTGGTCTGTCATCATTGAACTGGGAAGAAAACAGGACCCAAGACTTGTTGTGATCACTACAAGCAGTTCTCGCTGTCGCTAAACGAACATCTGAGGACATCCAATGACGGGTCACGTCAGAACGACCTTTCGCGGCTTTGACCGACCAGCTAAACAGAAAGTAAGACTATCCAAGCGGAAAAAAAGAAATGCTGTAGTGTTCATTCTAAATCCTGGAGACCTTACTATTTGTTGTAAGTCGATGGGCAAACAAGTCATACTCAAAACATAAGTATTTTTAAATTCTAAAACCTCTGCACAAACATGTAAACAGATACTTCAGATTACATGGATTTCAGGCGTAAACTTCCGAAAGCATATATCCTCGAGACTTTGCTTCTATATTTTGATATAATCAATATGTATCAGGTGTTTTATCTTTAAACTTGGATGATGCGCCATGATGCATATGTTTAATATGAAGTGTTAATAAAGTGCTGCTTATAACAATTTTTTAAATGTATTTCATATGTTTGAGGATATCCTTATTGTTTAAAATTTCAAATTCTTTTATGGAGTACGGGTGGCCCAGTCGTCTAAGGCACTGCAATTTTCCATCGTGCCAGAATTTGGGATATCTAGAACAAAACCCCACTCTCACTGGGGTATACAAAACAGAACCCTATCCTCACTGGGATATCCAGAACAGAACCCCATTTTCACTGGATATCCAGAACAGAATCCCACTTTCACTGGGATATCCAAAACAGAACCCTATCCTCACTGGGATATCCAGAACAGAACCCCACTCACACTGGGATATGGAGAATAGAACCCCACTCACACTGGGATATCCAGAATAGAACCCCACTTTCACTGGGATATCCAGAACAGAACCCGACTCACACTGGATATCAAGAACAGAACCCCACTGTCACTGGGATATCAAGAATAGAACCCCACTCACACTGGGATATCTAGAACAGAACCCCACTCACACTTGGATATCCAGAACAGAACCCAACCCTCACTGGGATATCAAGAATAGAACCCCACTTTCACTGGGATATCTAGAACACAACCCGACTCACACTGGGATATCCAGAACAGAACCCATCTCACACTGGGATATCCAGAACAGAACCCCACTCACTGGGATATCCAGAACAGAACCCAACCCTCACTGGGATATCCAGAACAGAACCCGATTTTCACTGGATATCCAGAACAGAACCCCACTTTCACCGGGATATCCAGAACAGAACCCCACTCTCACTGGGATATCAAGAACAGAACCTCACTCTCACCGAGATATCCACTGAATTCCTTTTAAAACAACACTAAACAAAAGTTAGTAAACAATTTATTTACATCAAAATATGACAAGTTATGACATTTGTATCTTCATCCAGAACCAAAGCCTGAACACAGTATGTTAGTACACCCCATGGATATACTTGTATCATAGGCATTTGCAGTGATGCCTGGTCAACCACTACTCCACTGTGATAGAGAGTCTGATTCTCCTTATATGTCAAGTGTGTATGTCTATAGAATGACATATTTGACTACCCCTATCAAGCATGGAGTAGTATATTATATGTGTTAGAATACCTTTCATGGTAGTTATTCATAAAACTTAACTTAGGATATTTTATTATTCATATAGATGGTCTAATATAATACAAAATGTCATGTATAAACTCCATGTATACATCCCTATCTGTAATGCAAGAGGCCACATTCAAATCAGCAGCAGAATAATTTTCATATAAATAAATAATAATGGACATTTATTTTTATTTCCACCAACTGTGTGTGGCAAAGCTGGGATACAACCATGAAACATAACATTAAAAATGTGTGGCATTAATACATACAGTAATGACCAAAATGTTTTAAAAAACCACTTAGTTACATAAACCAAAACATTAAAAAAATTATCTCTATTGACAAAAATGTTCAGTCTATATGCCATGTAAGCTATGACTCAAATTGGGATGTCGAAGTATCAATGTTAACTAGCCTTAATCCCAATAATCCAACTGCAAACATTACCCTACAATATCATTGTCTGCACCACATGACTACCTCTGCATTCCATAAATCCAGGCAGCACCCTTGGCAGCACTCTACATGGTAATCTCCTATATGGGTGGTCCACACAACCTAGTCATGTTGTTCCTGGTCAGCTTACCCAGACTTGTTCTTGCCTTCCGAGGAACATCTCAGTCCCTGGCAGGTCGTGTGTACATTTGTCAGCTACTTATAGATGTGATGTTCATGTAAATACAACTAAATGTGTGTATATTGTAGTCTCTTGTTCTACCTGGCTAAGCTACCCACTTAAGTCAGACCATGGTCTTGTGTCAACAAGGTGGTTACACTCTTCAACTTGTCCTCAGTGTTGGAAATGCTGGCAAACAGCTTTTCGAGCTTCATTTATACGAATCATAGGTCTATGAAAATAGCATACATCAAATAATGCAAACCTACCTATATCTAGTCTCTTCTAACTGGACCCGTGTAGATCCAAAGTAGAATAGATCTTCAGCGACCCATGCTTGCCGTAAAAGGCGACTATGCTTGTCGTAAAAGGCGACTAACGGGATCGGGTGGTCAGACTCCCTGACTTGGTTGATGCATGTCATCGATTCCAATTGCGTGGATCGATGCTCATAATATTAATCACTGGATTGTCTGGTCCAGACTCGATTATTTACAGACTGCCGTCATATAGCTGCAATATTGCTGAGTGCGGCGTTAAACAACAAACCAACCAACCAACCAACTCTTCTAACTGACACTGTGATTAGCCTTAAAAGGTAAAATTATGCTAAACTTAGAAAATATTCCTGTTGTTATAATGTATGAAACAGCCTTAGTAATTGCCTAACACCTGTCCCGAGGTAATGACATCACACCGGCCTGTGCACTGACTACATTATTATGATGATAACTGTCACATGCGACTATTTCCAGTCTTTTTCAGACTTCCTTCATTGGACTTAGAATAAATCTGATTTTTCGAGCATTTCTGACAGTAGTTTAGTGTTGAGACCTGCTTAATGAGTATCTCTCTGTCAGTAGCTGGATTCATGTTCATATGGACGGATGATAAATTTCAAGAACGTTCAAAGACAACCCTCCAATGCTTAGATTCATGAATTATTGAAATGATACCATTTGACATCATTCCGTCAAGCTCCAAATGAGAGAAAACCAATTAAACAGTTAGTTGTCATATATCTATGGTATCACTTTTCATCATTTGACCAATGTGTGAATACTTAATTGTGTAATTACCAGTACAAGCACAGTCAATGGATTTCATAGACTTCTCAAACTCTCTTATTATCATCAGCACCCCACCACACACACTTTCTTCCTGGACACTATTTCTTGTATAAAGCATGTATTTTGTGTTTGTTGAATAACTTAGCTTCGGGGCAGACCATTAAACATTCTTTGTAGGGAGGCCTGGGTTATTTGTGAGAGATGAAACTTTGTTGGTCACTGCTTCAAAACAAACAAATCTTTGTAGAAGTTCAACAAATAAACATTTTTTCACAACACATATTTTTCAGAATATTAAGAATTCATATTTTTTAGTAAAACCTGATACAAAACTCCCCAAACACCCCAACCAAAATATCCTTCCATCTAACATGCAACTCAGTCAGTATCGACCTTACCTGTGAAGCACGGTTGTTAAAATGACAGTAACAAAGAATAGAACTACTACACACACCTACACACACCTACACACACATACACACACATACACACGAGTTTGGCATCACACATGTAAGCACAGCCATTAATTGTAAAGTCATTTCATCTATGTTTCTAAGATAAACCTGTTTTTATGTTGTACACATTTTACAAATAAATATGGCACAAATAATTGTCACTAAGTTCAATTTACGTATATAAAATAAAACAAATTAATGGACAAAAAAAGCCTGATGACATGCTATAAGGTTTAGTTATAGATTTTTTTACTAAGAAAAACAAGCATTCTCTTCTTCAAACAGCATTTCGCAATGTGAGGAGATTCGTGTCCTTCAAATCCACAAATTCTTCCCAAAATTCTTGAGCTGTGACATTGACAAGAAGACTTGCTTCAACCTCGGGTGACAAGAATGCTATACTTTCTTCTACATTCATCACTCTCTCCTGCTCATTGCCACACCTGAAAATACACCAAACAACGCATCTGACCAGCACTCTTGGAATGGGTTAGTATTCATATAAAATGTTCTTAACTTGCCCTTGAACCGTATAGAAAATAAAGTAAAACATTTCAACAAAGTTTACTGATAAAACTGTTTTTGTGTGCTAAGTTGGCAAGTATTGTCAGCTCACTTTCAATCTATACAAGCAGGGACAAAGAAGAATGAGCATATTTTTCGGCCAACTGGAAATGTCAAATTTGAAAATCACCGAAAACAGTAAAATACTGGTATGAAAAGTTTCTGAAATATTCCAAAGGTTGACTTCTGACATGTTCAAGTACATGTACAAGGCTAAAATGAGAGAAAAGGGTGAATATTTTACCATATGTTTGCACTTTCTTTATTAAAGTTTAATCAAAATGCAGCTTAGATCAAATAATTGCTCCTATTCAAATAATTGTTTTAAAAATCCTGAAAACCACTAAAGTCACCCTTTTGCACACATTTGGGCTATCTGTAAACTTAGTACCACATAACAACATGTATGTGTTGACATGAACTAAGTCTACTATGACTAAAACTTTCAATGACAATTTTCACAATGACTTCTAAACATCTGTAAAATATGCAGATACTGCGAGGCCAAAAGGGCCCTTATTTCACCGTGTCCCTTCATTGGTGGATCTGTTCATGACTGACCTGTTGACTGCCAGGAGTTTGAGAGCCCGCGCTTCCAGATAGGGTGAGACATCACACAGGGACTCCACCTCCCCAGGTGCTGGGGCAAACAGCATCACACCCACCCTGCAACATGTAAAGAAAGCCATGTACACAGCGTGGACTCTCATCTCAACATGGTTTAACTCTGCAGACAGGAATTAACAACAACCTTTACAAAGAACTTTTATTTACATGAATGTTTACCATTAAAGATCTTTGTATCTGTTCATAGCCTCTTTTCATAATGCATCCTATGTTATATAATCATGGCCTTTTTGATAGTGCTTCTCATCTCATCTGAAGGTGACTCTCATGACATTGCTTCTAATCTTATCTGACGGTGACCCTCTTGCCATTGCTTCTCATCTTATCTGACGGTGACCCTCTTGCCATTTTTCTCATCTTATCTGACAGTGACCCTCTTGACATTGCTTCTCATCTTATCTGATGGTGACCCTCTTGACATTGCTTCTCATCTTATCTGACGGTGACCCTCTTGCCATTTTTCTCATCTTATCTGACGGTGACCCTCTTGCCATTGCATCTAATCTTATCTGAAAGTGACCCTCTTGCCATTGCATCTAATCTTATCTGAAAGTGACCCTCTTGCCATTGCATCTAATCTTATCTGACTGTGACCCTCTTGCCACTTTTCTCATCTTATCTGACGGTGACCCTCTTTTTTTTTCTCATCTTATCTGACGGTGACCCTCTTGCCATTTTTCTCATCTTATCTGACGGTGACCCTCTTGACATTGCTTCTAATCTTATCTGACGGTGACCCTCTTGCCACTTTTCTCATCTTATCTGACGGTGACCCTCTTGCCATTTTTCTCATCTTATCTGACAGTGACCCTCTTGACATTGCTTCTCATCTTATCTGATGGTGACCCTCTTGACATTGCTTCTCATCTTATCTGACGGTGACCCTCTTGCCATTTTTCTCATCTTATCTGACGGTGACCCTCTTGCCATTGCATCTAATCTTATCTGAAAGTGACCCTCTTGCCATTGCATCTAATCTTATCTGAAAGTGACCCTCTTGCCATTGCATCTAATCTTATCTGAAAGTGACCCTCTTGCCATTGCTTCTAATCTTATCTGAAAGTGACCCTCTGGCCATTGCTTCTAATCTTATCTGACAGTGACCCTCTTGCCATTGCTTCTAATCTTATCTGACGGTGACCCTCTTGCCATTGCTTCTAATCTTATATGACGGTGACCCTCTTGCCATTGCTTCTAATCTTATCTGACGGTGACCCTCTTGCCATTGCTTCTAATCTTATCTGACGGTGACCCTCTTGCCATTGCTTCTCATCTTATCTGACAGTGACCCTCTTGACATTTTTCTCATCTTATCTGATGGTGACCCTCTTGCCATTTTTCTCATCTTATCTGACAGTGACCCTCTTGCCATTGCTTCTAATCTTATCTGATGGTGACCCTCTTGCCACTTTTGTCATGTTATCTGATGGTGACCCTCTTGCCATTGCTTCTCATCTTATCTGACAGTGACACTCTTGCCATTTTTCTCATCTTATCTGATGGTGACCCTCTTGCCATTGCTTCTCATCTTATCTGACAGTGAACCTCTTGACATTTTTCTCATCTTATCTGATGGTGACCCTCTTGCCATTGCTTCTCATCTTATCTGACAGTGACCCTCTTGCCATTGCTTCTCATCATATCTGACAGTGACCCTCTTGACATTTTTCTCATCTTATCTGATGGTGACCCTCTTGCCATTGCTTCTAATCTTATCTGATGGTGATCCTCTTGACATTGCTTCTAATCTTATCTGACAGTGACCCTCTTGCCATTGCTTCTCATCTTATCTGACCGTGACCCTCTTGCCATTGCTTCTAATCTTATCTGAAAGTGACCCTCTTGCCATTGCTTCTAATCTTATCTGATGGTGACCCTCTTGCCATTGCTTCTAATCTTATCTGACGGTGACCCTCTTGCTATTTTTCTCATCTTATCTGACTGTGACCCTCTTGCCATTTTTCTCATCTTATCTGACGGTGACCCTCTTGACATTGATTCTCATCTTATCTGACAGTGACCCTCTTGACATTGCTTCTAATCTTGTCTGACGGTGACCCTCTTGCCATTTTTCGCATCTTATCTGACGGTGACCCTCTTGCCATTTTTCTCATCTTATCTGACGGTGACCCTCTTGACATTGCTTCTCATCTTATCTGATGGTGACCCTCTTGACATTGCTTCTCATCTTATCTGACGGTGACCCTCTTGCCATTTTTCTCATCTTATCTGAAGGTGACCCTCTTGCCATTGCTTCAAATCCTATCTGAAAGTGACCCTCTTGCCATTGCTTCTAATCTTATCTGAAAGTGACCCTCTTGCCATTGCTTCTAATCTTATCTGACAGTGACCCTCTTGCCATTGCTTCTTATCTTTTCTGACGGTGACCCTCTAAACATTGCTTCTAATCTTATCTGACGGTGACCCTCTTGACATTGCTTCTAATCTTATCTGACTGTGACCCTCTTGCCACTTTTCTGATTTTATCTGACGGTGACCCTCTTTTTTTTCCTCATCTTATCTGACGGTGACCCTCTTGCCATTTTTCTCATCTTATCTGACGGTGACCCTCTTGCCATTGCTTCTAATCTTATCTGACAGTGACCCTCTTGCCACTTTTCTCATCTTATCTGACAGTGACCCTCTTGACATTGCTTCTCATCTTATCTGATGGTGACCCTCTTGCCATTTTTCTCATCTTATCTGACGGTGACCCTCTAGCCATTGCATCTAATCTTATCTGAAAGTGACCCTCTTGCCATTGCTTCTAATCTATCTGAAAGTGACCCTCTGGCCATTGCTTCTAATCTTATCTGACAGTGACCCTCTTGCCATTGTTTCTAATCTTATCTGACGGTGACCCTCTAAACATTGCTTCTAATCTTATCTGACGGTGACCCTCTTGCCATTGCTTCTAATCTTATCTGATGGTGACCCTCTTGCCATTGCTTCTAATCTTATCTGACGGTGACCCTCTTGCCATTGCTTCTAATCTTATCTGACTGTGACCCTCTTGCAATTGCTTCTCATCTTATCTCACTGTGACCCTCTTGCCATTTTTCTCATCTTATCTGATGGTGACCCTCTTGCCATTTTTCTCATCTTATCTGACAGTGACCCTCTTGCCATTGCTTCTAATCTTATCTGACGGTGACCCTCTTGCCATTGCTTCTAATCTTATCTGACGGTGACCCTCTTGCCATTGCTTCTAATCTTATCTGATGCTGACCCTCTTGCCATTGCTTCTAATCTTATCTGATGGTGACCCTCTTGCCACTTTTGTCATCTTATCTGATGGTGACTCTCTTGCCATTGCTTCTCATCTTATCTGACAGTGAACCTCTTGCCATTTTTCTCATCTTATCTGATGGTGACCCTCTTGCCATTGCTTCTCATCTTATCTGAAAGTGACCCTCTTGCCATTGCTTCTCATCTTATCTGACAGTGACCCTCTTGACATTTTTCTCATCTTATCTGACGGTGACCCTCTTGACATTGCTTCTCATCTTATCTGATGGTGATCCTCTTGCCATTGCTTCTAATCTTATCTGACAGTGACCCTTTTGACATTGCTTCTCATCTTATCTGACCGTGACCCTATTGCCATTGCTTCTAATCTTATCTGACGGTGACCCTCTTGCCATTGCTTGTAATCTTATCTGACGGTGACCCTCTTGCCATTGCTTCTAATCTTATCTGATGGTGACCCTCTTGCCATTGCTTCTAATCTTATCTGACGGTGACCCTCTTGCCATTGCTTCTAATCTTATCTGACTGTGACCCTCTTGCAATTGCTTCTAATCTTATCTCACTGTGACCCTCTTGACATTTTTCTCATCTTATCTGATGGTGACCCTCTTGCCATTTTTCTCATCTTATCTGACAGTGACCCTCTTGCCATTGCTTCTAATCTTATCTGACGGTGACCCTCTTGCCATTGCTTCTAATCTTATCTGTTGGTGACCCTCTTTCCATTGCTTCTAATCGTATCTGACGGTGACCCTCTTGCCATTGCTTCTAATCTTATCTGACGGTGACCCTCTTGCCACTTTTGTCATCTTATCTGATGGTGACTCTCTTGCCATTGCTTCTAATCTTATCTGACAGTGAACCTCTTGCCATTTTTCTCATCTTATCTGATGGTGACCCTCTTGCCATTGCTTCTCATCTTATCTGACCGTGACCCTCTTGCCATTGCTTCTCATCTTATCTGACAGTGACCCTCTTGACATTTTTCTCATCTTATCTGACGGTGACCCTCTTGACATTGCTTCTCATCTTATCTGATGGTGATCCTCTTGCCATTGCTTCTAATCTTATCTGACAGTGACCCTCTTGACATTGCATCTCATCTTATCTGACGGTGACCCTATTGCCATTGCTTCTAATCTTATCTGAAAGTGACCCTCTTGCCATTGCTTCTAATCTTATCTGATGGTGACCCTCTTGCCATTGCTTCTAATCTTATCTGACGGTGACCCTCTTGCCATTTTTCTCATCTTATCTGACGGTGACCCTCTTGCCATTGCTTCTCATCTTATCTGACGGTGACCCTCTTGCCATTTTTCTCATCTTATCTGACAATGACCCTCTTGACATTGCTTCTCATCTCATCTGATGGTGAACTTCTTGACATTATCAAATGAGGCCTTTGTGAAATTGATACTGCATGTCAAGCTAGGATCCTACCTGATCATGGCCTTCCTGGCTGTGGGCCTGTGTTGTGGGTCGTCCAGCACCAACTGTTTGAGTACATCACACAGGCCTTGGGAAAAGCCCACAGGCAAGTCAGGGATAGCAGAATCAAAATAGTGGGGCTTGTTCACTGAGGACTGTGGGAAGTCATCTCTGTCCCCCAGAGGGCGCAGCAAGCTGTAGAACATGCGACTCACAGCAAAACCATCCGTTTTGGCGTATACTTCTTGCAGGGAGGTCTGAAACAGTACAAGGATCGGCACTCACAGAATTATACCATAGGAGTGAGTTTGTTGAATGTCTAAAAAAGCAGAGACTTACCAATGGCTTTCATCAACTTGGAAATGCAGGATATTTGGGAATGTAGCATTCATTTGGGAATGCAGACAATTTAGGAATGTAGCATTCATTTGGGGATTTTTAGAAGGCATTTATTCTTTAGAATTCAAAGGTTCTTTATAGTTTGATTACAATAATGCAAAACCTAGTTTAAAAAGGACATTATTAATAACTTTAAAGCTAACATGCAAGCAAGAATGACCAAAGTATTTTAATTTTGGGAAAATTTAATGACATTTGGCATGGGCCTCTTACCAAATATCTGCCTCTGAGAACATGTTCAAAAGTCCCTGAATCATGGGAATAGTTTTCCCTCTGACATGGAGATGTAAAACACTGCATACATCAAACTCATACCTATATGCCCTACTTAATTAAACTGGAATAGAAAAAAGGTTGATGATATTGAAAATTATGAGATTAAGAGTTTGTTGCACAATCACTACACCAGAAATACTGAACAGAACTTTTATTCACAAAAACCTATACGGTAGAAAAAGTTAAACTTTCAAAATTCAGTTTATAACACCATGGACCTGTATTTGATGCATTTCAATCCATATTAAGTAAAAGATATAAGAAAATCTATTTATTCGATATTCACATGCCTCGTCTAGGATGAGCTTCAGCTGCCGAGGCACAGTCAAACAACTGACATTTAGCGCTAAGACTTCAGCGAAATGAGTCATTACAGCTGTTTATTTCATGAAATGAAATGAAATGTAATATTCTTCCTCCTACACATGCTGCTGACCCCCTTAAGCAATGTCTCAAAATAACACACTGGGTAAAATGTGAAGGCTTACATTGAGTTTCAGATTTAAAAAAAACACTATATTTCTTTTTTGGTTACTTTTCTTTCCCAATGGAAATGTACACAAGGAAAGTAAACCGTGTTCAGCTAACATAAAGAGAACATGGTCCATTTTGAGGACACAGATAATGGATCACTCAGTAACATCACATAGTTCATATCATCCCAGTTATAATTAACATTCAGTTATCACTAAACTCAAATGATCACATTGCCTTTCAACGTGAGTACATTCCGAAGGCATGAAGACAGTTCAGACTCAAACGTTTTAAGGTAATCCATCCAAAAAACTTACAGCATTTTGAGCCAATCTACGTCCTCTTTTCTACATCAACATATTTAATAAAAAATTGCCCTGTATTGTAAGACATCATGTCAGTGTTCACTGAAGCAGGCAGGGTCTTGACCAGCATCTCACTGCCCTGTCTTATAAGACATCATGTCAATGTTCACTGAAGCAGGCGGGGTTCAGCATGTCACTGCCCTATCTTGTAGGACATCATGTCAATGTTCACTGAAGCAGGCAGGGTCTTGACCAGCAAATCACTGCCCTGTCTTGTAAGACATCATGTCAATGTTCACTGAAGCAGGCAGGGTCTTGACCAGCATCTCACTGCCCTGTCTTGTAAGACATCATTTCAGTGTTCACTGAAGCAGGCAGGGTCTTGACCAGCATGTCAATGCCCTGTCTTGTAAGACATCATGTCAATGTTCACTGATAAAGGCAGGGTCTTGACCAGCATGCCCCTGCCCTGTCTTGTAAGACATCATGTCAATGCTCACTGATAAAGGCAGGGTCTTGACCAGCATGCCCCTGCCCTGTCTTGTAAGATATCATGTCAGTGTTCACTGAAGTAGGCAGGGTCTTGACCAGCATGTCAATGCCCTGTCTTGTAAGACATCATGTCAATGTTCACTGAAGCAGGCAGGGTCTTGACCAGCATCTCACTGCCCTGTCTTGTAAGACATCATGTCAATGTTCACTGAAGCAGGCAGGGACCAGCATGCCCCTGCCCTGTCTTGTAAGACATCATGTCAGTGTTCACTGATAAAGGCAGGGTCTTGACCAGCATGCCCCTGCCCTGTCTTGTAAGACATCATTTCAGTGTTCACTGACAAAGGCAGGGTCTTGACCAGCATGTCACTGCCCTGTCTTGTAAGACATCATGTCAGTGTTCACTGAAGCAGGCAGGGTCCAGCATCTCACTGCCCTGTCTTGTAAGATATCATGTCAGTGTTCACTTAAGCAGGCAGGGACCAGCATGCCCCTGCCCTGTCTTGTGAGACATCATGTCAGTGTTCACTGATAAAGGCAGGGTCCAGCATCTCACTACCCTGTCTTGTAAGACAGCATGTCAGTGTTTACTGAAGCAGGCAGGGTCTTGACAAGCATCTCACTGCCCTGTCTTGTAAGAAGTCATGTCAGCGTTCACTGAAGCAGGCAGGGTCAAGCATGTCACTACCCTGTCTTGTAAGACATCATGTCAGTATTCACTGAAGCAGGCAGGGTCTTGACCAGCATCTCACTGCCCTGTCTTGTAAGACATCATGTCAGTGTTCACTGAAGCAGGCAGGGTCTTGACCAGCATCTCACTGCCCTGTCTTGTAAGACATCATGTCAATGTTCACTGATAAAGGCAGGGTCTTGACCAGCATGTCACTGCCCTGTCTTGTAAGACATCATGTCAATGTTCACTGAAGCAGGCAGGGTCTTGACCAGCATGTCACTGCCCTGTCTTGTAAGACATCATGTCAATGTTCACTGAAGTAGGCAGGGTCTTGACCAGCATGTCACTGCCCTGTCTTGTAAGACATCATGTCAATGTTCACTGATAAAGGCAGGGTCTTGACCAGCATGTCACTGCCCTGTCTTGTAAGACATCATGTCAATGTTATCTGAAGCAGGCAGGGTCTTGACCAGCATCTCACTGCCCTGTCTTGTAAGACATCATGTCAATGTTCACTGATAAAGGCAGGGTCTTGACCAGCATGTCACTGCCCTGTCTTGTAAGACATCATGTCAGTGTTCACTGAAGTAGGCAGGGTCCAGCATCTCACTGCCCTCTCTTGTAAGACTTCATGTCAGTGTTCACTGAAGCAGGCAGGGTCTTGACCAGCATGTCACTGCCCTGTCTTGTAAGATATCATGTCAGTGTTCACTTAAGCAGGCAGGGACCAGCATGCCCCTGCCCTGTCTTGTAAGACATCATGTCAGTGTTCACTGATAAAGGCAGGATCTTGACCAGCATACCCCTGCCCTGTCTTGTAAGACATCGTGTCAGTGTTCACTGAAGCAGGCAGGGTCCAGCATCTCACTACCCTGTCTTGTAAGACAGCATGTCAGTGTTCACTGAAGCAGGCAGGGTCTTGACAAGCATCTCACTGCCCTGTCTTGTAAGAAGTCATGTCAGCGTTCACTGAAGCAGGCAGGGTCAAGCATGTCACTACCCTGTCTTGTAAGACATCATGTCAGTGTTCACTGAAGCAGGCAGGGTCTTGACCAGCATCTCACTGCCCTGTCTTGTAAGACATCATGTCAGTGTTCACTGAAGCAGGCAGGGTCTTGACCAGCATGTCACTGCCCTGTCTTGTAAGACATCATGTCAATGTTCACTGAAGCAGGCAGGCTCTTGACCAGCATGTCACTGCCCTGTCTTGTAAGACATCATGTCAATGTTCACTGAAGCAGGCAGGGTCTTGACCAGCATGTCACTGCCCTGTCTTGTAAGACATCATGTCAATGTTCACTGATAAAGGCAGGGTCTTGACCAGCATGTCACTGCCCTGTCTTGTAAGACATCATGTCAATGTTCACTGAAGCAGGCAGGGTCTTGACCAGCATGTCACTGCCCTGTCTTGTAAGACATCATGTCAATGTTCACTGATAAAGGCAGGGTCTTGACCAGCATCTCACTGCCCTGTCTTGTAAGACATCATGTCAATGTTCACTGATAAAGGCAGGGTCTTGGCCAGCATGTCACTGGCCTGTCTTGTAAGACATCATGTCAATGTTCACTGATAAAGGCAGGGTCTTGACCAGGATGCCCCTGCCCTGTCTTGTAAGACATCATGTCAGTGTTCACTGAAGTAGGCAGGGTCCAGCATCTCACTGCCCTCTCTTGTAAGACTTCATGTCAGTGTTCACTGAAGCAGGCAGGGTCTTGACCAGCATGTCATTGCCCTGTCTTGTAAGAAGTCATGTCAATGTTCACTGAAGCAGGCAGGGTCCAGCATGTCACTGCCCTCTCTTGTAAGACATCATGTCAATGTTCACTGAAGCAGGCAGGGTCTTGACCAGCATGTCACTGCCCTGTCTTGTAAGAAGTCATGTCAGTGTTCACTGAAGCAGGCAGGGTCCAGCATGTCACTTCCCTGTCTTGTAAGACATCATGTTAGTGTTCACTGAAGCAGGCAGGGTCCAGCATGTCACTACCCTGTCTTGTAAGACATCATGTCAATGTTCACTGAAGCAGGCAGGGTCCAGCATGTCACTGCCCTGTCTTGTAAGACATCATGTCAATGTTCACTGAAGCAGGCAGGGTCCAGCATCTCACTACCCTCTCTTGTAAGGCATCATGTCAGTGTTCACTGAGGCAGGCAGGGTCCAGCATGTCAATGCCCTGTCTTGTAAGACATCATGTCAATGTTCACTAATCAGGCAGGGTCCAGCATCTCACTACCCTCTCTTGTAAGACATCATGTCCGTGTTCACTGAAGCAGGCAGGGTCCAGCATCCCCCTACCCTCTCTTGTAAGACATCATGTCAGTGTTCACTGATAAAGGCAGGGTCCAGCATGTCACTACCCTGTCTTGTAAGACATCATGTCAATGTTCACTGAAGCAGGCAGGGTCCAGCATGTCACTGCCCTGTCTTGTAAGACATCATGTCAGTGTTCACTGATGCAGGCAGGGTCAAGCATCTCACTGCCCTGTCTTGTAAGACATCATGTCAATGTTCACTGAAGCAGGCAGGGTCAAGCATCACACTGCCCTGTCTTGTAAGACATCATGTCAGTATTCACTGATAAAGGCAGGGTCCAGCATGTCACTGGCCTGTCTTGTAAGACATCATTTCAATGTTCACTGAAGCAGGCAGGGTCCAGCATGTCACTGCCCTGTCTTGTAAGACATCATGTCAGTGTTCACTGACGCAGGCAGGGTCAAGCATCTCGCTGCCCTGTCTTGTAAGACATCATGTCAATGTTCACTGAAGCAGGCAGGGTCAAGCATCACACTGCCCTGTCTTGTAAGACATCATGTCAGTGTTCACTGAAGCAGGCAGGGTCCAGCATGTCACTGTCCTGTCTTGTAAGACATCATGTCAGTGTTCACTGATAAAGGCAGGGTCCAGCATGTCACTGCCCTCTCTTGTAAGACATCATGTCAGTGTTCACTGAAGCAGGAAGAATATTGAGTTTCTTACATGGGCACTTCCTGAATTATGCAAAGAATGACATCTCAGAATCTAGATGACTACATTATTTCACAGTTGGGAGTGTTGGTATCTATAATGGAGTGAGCGTGTGAGTTTTATTGTGGTTTTAGTGTGACAAGCTATCTGAAGTTGGTTTTGTAAATATGAAGACTCAATATATAATAAATATTCTATTCATGTCATGACACCAAATGCCATGTTTTTCCATCTTGGGACCCGAAATGAAAAAATGTTACTTATCAACAAGTGACTTTGTAACCAATTAGATTAGGGCATACACTTTCAATGTTTACCAAACTAGATTAATAGATTGTTAAATGTTTTCCTGACTTACAAGATGAGGCAAGGATTCTGGTCCATTGTGATGAAAGCGTGTCAGTTCAGGAGCCCAGGCATTTGAGTTTCCAGCACAAGCTTGGGTCTTGTCCACAAACACCTGCTTCAGGCCCTGCGCTGTATACAAAGACCGTGCAAATCCAAAATCAGCCAGCACAGGCCGTAAACACTTGTCTAAGAACACATTGTCTCCTTTGATGTCTCTGTGCACGATATGGTTACACTGCAGGAAGTCAATCACAGACAGCATCTGGTATAGCAGGAGGAGGAGGAAAACGTTTGGCAAACCGTAGCACGGCTCTGGACATATGGTCCGCTGGTTCACCATGAAAGACAGGAGGGTCTGGGGGTAGCTTTCTAAAACTAGGAAAGAGGTCCGTGTTGCCATTTCCAGTGGGACATCCAGGTTGGAGGGAACAAGAAGGTCTTGATACCTCCGGAACTGGTCGGTGGAGCCTTGATAATAATGCATAACACTGACAATATTCCGATGTTTGGAGAGTAGTAGAGGTACATGGTACTCAGGTCCGAAGTTCCGGATTAAATACCCGTCTAGACTGCAGCCCTGATCGTGGTTTGTGAAGTCTAGATTTATAAGGTTTACCATCATCTGAAAAGGATAAAAGAATGGTGAGATGTTGTTTTTAGGATATTTTTGATGAGGAGAAAAGCCAAAGGATGCTGTTTACATTTGGTTGGCCAATCAAAGGGGATCCTTTCACATTGTGGAGGAATCACAGAAACATTTACATATAAAAATTATGAATCATCATTCCAACAGCACCATGCATGCAGAGCTTAGAGAAGGAAATGGAATCCTTTGGAAACACACTTAATCTTAACTGATTTTGAAGTCAACATTTAGTTCACAGAATAGACAGAAGCACAACCTTAACAAAGACAAGAATCCAGCCTTAAATAACACCCTCATTGTTGGACACCAAGCTTGGCAATCACATCGAGAGGGGAACTTAAGCCAGGTCAGCAGCAAGAGATGGGTCATTATTACTAGGCAAGCCTACCACCCAAAACATCTATGGAATACTTCTGTTTTATGACTTGGAAATTAACCTCACAATCAGTTATCAAGTTATTAACGTTCAAGGGATGTCCAAATTGATTTTTTCCAGTTACATGTACCTATAATGCAGAAGCTCACATCATATGACAGGGGAAATACAATTCAAATTAACCTTGTCAACCATAACTTTGATTTGTTGCACATTTCTTGATTTGTTATGGGAACAGTTCAGAATGAGCCTGTGAGTTGGGTTTAACGCCGTTTTGAACAGTATTCCAGTTACATCACGGTGTGTTAGCATCCATATGGGAAGAAAGCCCGAAATGATGCAGGTCTTAGACGTTTACCACTTTGCTTAAACCAATGAGCACAGGTATGGTGCTGACAAACCTAGAAACATAATCCTGGCAAACTGGGATTAAAAAACAAGATCATAGGTTTCTGGCTGGCATGTCGAGGGGACACAACAGCAAATTGCAGCACCCTGGACAACAGAGCCACCAGTTCCCCCACTTTATTTTTAATATAAAATGTATGCCCTTTAATATATGTTTTTCCTTGTGTGTCCAATGGTCCTTGTTTTCCTTGTTTATAGTTAACTACACCTATGCAAAACATTGTCTTTTCTGTCTTCATGGTTCTCAAGACAAATTACTTTTTACTAAATATTTTTGTACCAATATTTCTTGACTGTTAAAGGCTGTTGACCGACAAAGTTGAAGACACCAAAGATAATTACAGGCCAGTGTCAGGGCCAGCGGCTCATTCATTATGTTGAGGAAGTGTGCTGGGCCAGTCAGTGATATATGGTCACCTTGCTTCAGGGCTAGACATACACTGTGTACACATTAACCCCAATAAACCTAATGACAGTGTAGGACATTCTTCCTGAAGTCTGGTTGTAGATGTACTGTGATGTCACATGAACAAATTCTATATTAGGCCTATATTACAAATCTTGTGCTTGTCAATTTCTTTTTTAAAACCTCTTTATTTTCACAACCATTCTTAATAGTCATGAACTGTTACTTCTTCACTGAATGAACTAAAGATTCTAGGTCCCATTCCTCGATCCTAGTGCTACGACAAGTTTAAGGTTGACTTACGACGATCCTAAGTCTATGTTGAAGTATTGGAGTTACCATCAATTTTAGCGCTAAGATCACTTTGTGGAACGGGTCCCTGTCCTTTGTCTATGCAAAAGTGGCAAAGGACAGCAATTGAGGCAAGGGACAAAGTGTTTTCTATGGTCTTAATTAAAGGACCACATGATTCAATCTGATATCAGGAGGTCATCAACAAGAGGGTCTACACACAGTGGTCTACAGCACATCTGAGGCATCCTTATTGTCATGACAGGATGCGATGATTGCTGCTCCACCTGCAGATCTCCCTGACTACGATCAGCACCACTCCCATGCTCTTGTTTCACCCAGGTACTACATGTCTACAACCAGCATCGCTTGAGCCTTTCTTGAATTTCCAAATTGAAATAACATGCTTGGATAAAACTGTAAAACTGATCATTTACCCTCACACTCGTTTTCAAACATACAACAATGATTTTATAATTGATGCACAAACTTTCAAACTTACTTTGAGAATGAACATGGTGGCATTGCGTCTGATCTGAAAGACAAGCGAGCACGAGCCATTTCGGACACCATCCTTGACATGATTGAGTGGCCCGTCACCAATGATGTCATAGTCCATCCCAGGCACCCACTCCACATTGGAGTCCATCTTTGACACACTGGCAGGCGGTAACCACACAGTCTGCAGGTGTCCCCTGAGATTGTCCAGCATCGACCTGCTATTGCACATATCACTGTTATGGGTTTTCATGAATGTCAGCAAATGTTTATGGGTGAAGTCTCTCTGTGGATAGCCTCCTCCTGAGTTCCTGCCATTCTCCATCCTCATCATGTCCATGGAGGATGACATGCTCCGGGCAATCAACTTCTGCTGTTTCACAACCTCAAAGTTTTTTCTTCTTTCTGTAGCCAGCATTTCCCGTGTATTTTGTAAGTCTTTCGACTTCTGTTCTTGTTGCCATAGTAACTCCCTGTTCAGCTTCTCCATCTCTCTGACTTTGTTCTGCAACTGAACATTGCTCTGCTCCACCTTGAGAACCCTTTCACTGTATTTCACAAGCTCCAGCTGGAAACAAACGTTAGGGTTTATATTTAAGACACACAGGAGTAGACCATAGACATTCTTGTATTCTTAAATTTTGCCCTTTTTTGAATGACCGGATTATGTTTAATATTTCAACGTAAATAAAAGGAAATGGACACATTATTTCTCAGTTGCATTGGTGCCATCAGTCAAAATGTAATCACTTCCATTCAGAAAAGGGCAAAATTGTATGTAATAACAATTACATGACACACATAACACAATTACATGACACATATAACACAATTACATGTCACATACAAACAGGCCTTTCCTGACTCTATTTTGACTGATGGCACCAACACAATTGAGAAATAATGTGTCAATTTCCTTTTAATTCTGTGGAAATATTAAACATAATGTCACAATATATATGTAACATTCCTGAAAGTAACATAGCTTTTTTCTCTTTATAAGGTGTTTCAGTGACCTATGACTACAAATACTATGAATGTGATCATTATTATTTGAGAAAGTTTTTTTATAAAATATTTTCTTCATGTTTAAAGCAGTTGTGGCTTTTTACTTTTGTTGGTCAAATCCATGAACAGAAAAAAAGAACAGCCCAAAGATAAATTTCTGGATAAGCTCAACCGCAGCCACAGTTTTTAAAACACTGATCTCTTGAGCTGCACACAGATACTTGGATACACAATTACATGCCACACATAACAAACAGGCCTTTCCTGACTTTAGGACATCAGTTCATACAAGACACACGTTTCAGTACCATCCTGCCTCACCTGCAAGGATTCGGCAAAGTTTTCAAGCGCACATGTGTCATCATGGCTGCTTTTGCTTCTGGTGACTGCCATCTTGGGAGCAGCCGTTGGTGCCTCAGGGGTCTCATGGTAGTCATGGTGAGGTGTCTGTAGCAGACAGCTTCCATTGGTCTCTTTCCTCCATCTCCCATTAACAGCATCCAGTGGTTTTGTGTGGTTGGAGGCTTCAGTGTTTTCTTGGGCTTCCATAGACCTTTGGCCACTGTTTCCAATAGATGGCGGCACCTGACAAATGGGCTTCAGACTTCGGGGGGAGGTATGGGGGTTAGAGAAACTGTTTATAATCTTTGATGTTTCAGGTGCTGTGCTGTCTCTAATGTTTGGGATGAAGGAGAAATCTTTTGTCTTTGGCCATGACGTTGGTGCCATGGATTGATAAATGTCCATACAGTCCGAGTTAGGACCAGAGTTTGGCAGTGAACTGAATATCTGTTGACCTGCAACAAAGAATATGTGACTCTGGTTATGTAGAGGTTAGATCAGGCTGACATGGGATCCTTGGAGCCAATTCTACCTCAGACATCCAACCAGGAACTATGTTAGCTTACCAGCTTGGTTAACCTCTATGGTCATAAGGACAACAGACGGCCTTAATCAGACATTTCATAAAACCAAGTAAATTATGGCTCAAAGGAATTGGGAAATGTAGAAACCAACACCAAGCTCACTCCCACCCCCAAGCATACACAAACTATTAATTTGGATAGTACCATTCACAGTGAATTCCCATTAAGGTATGTCAAACTTAACAAATCTTGGGCTATATCCCTTAAATCAAGGGTGAAAATATTTGGAGGTATAATTGTCTGGAAGGCAGGGTTTCAGGGCTTAAGGGGTCCATATTAACAAGATTGAACTGTATATGAAATCACTGACTGGCCATGTACTGTTGCAGCTTGGAGGCAGCCAGGGTATGGCACCGACTCACAGCTTCCTGCAGTGGTGTTTTACACGACTCGTTCTGAACAAATGGATCAGCTGCTGCAGCGATGAATGCATCAACTATGTCCGCGAAGCCTCTATATGCCGCAAGATGAAGTGGAGTGTCTCCCCGGTTGTTTTGAAGATTCAGATTGGCTCCCCTGGTTGTGAAAAATTGAAGTTAATTAATTCATCATTGGAGTACAGTATTGATTCCCGTGAGGAGGTAACCTTTAGTCCAAGTACCAAACCTCTCATCCCTCTTTATCAATGATAAAAGGTCTTGTTTCCTTCAAGAGAAGTCACATTATCGATAATCCCAAAACCTCCAAGAAGTAGGGGTTGATGGCCCTTCTGACCCTGTACATCACGACTAACCTCCACATAGTGACAAAAGTCAATATGAATGTTATACATTGGACAGAATGCCGACATACATTCAATAGCTTATCCTATGATCCATTATGGTAAGTGTAAACATATTGCAACACAGTAACTAGTGAGTGAGTGAGTTGGGTTTAACGCCGCTTTTAACAGTATTCCAGTTATATCGCGGCGTGTCAGCTTAATGTGGGAGGAAAGCCCGAAGTGATGCAGGTCTCAGACGTTTACCACTTCAGTGAAACCCACGAGCACGGGTATGGTGCTGACAAACCTAGAAACATAATCGGGGCAAACCGGGATTCGAAACCCACAATCATAGGTTTCTGGCGTGCCCAAGGGACGCAACTCTGCACAGCGAATCGCGGCGCCTTAGACGACTGGGCCACCCGTGCCCCCCCAACACAGTAACTAACTGATATATTTTGATCACATATAACATGACTTGCTTTGTTATTTGCATTGACCTGACTATAATCTAACAGTAAATCATGCAGACCGTAACATGCACTCGTTTTTTTGCACTCGTAACATGCACTCGTCTCCAATCAAAATGTGGCAGGTTCTTATATAAACGATGCAAACTTTAAGGGAATTGTGTCTTGTTTGTAATTTGTGTGGCTATTTCTATTTAAAATGTGTAGATATTCCATGGTTTGGTTGTCTGATGGAGGGAGTATGGTGTTACACACTGTCAGCACACTTGCAGCAACATCATGGCATCACCCACTACCGGCTTGATACATGAATGCTGATGTGGAGGCTTCACTCTACTGTCCCCAGTTTTATTCATCCCCTCCAAAGATGACCATGACAGGTCCATGGAAGAGGGAGGTCATCAGATTCTGATCTGTCAATGACATCTCCATGGAAGAGGGAGGTCATCAGATTCTGATCTGTCAATAACATCTCCATCAAAGAGAGAGGTCATCAGATTCTGATCTGTCAATGACATCTCCATGGAAAAGGGAGGTCATCAGATTCTGATCTGTCAATGACATCTCCATGGAAGAGGGAGGTCATCAGATTCTGATCTGTCAATAACATCTCCATCAAAGAGAGAGGTCATCAGATTCTGATCTGTCAATGACATCTTCATGGAAAAGGGAGGTCATCAGATTCTGATCTGTCATGACATCTCCATGGAAGAGGGAGGTCATCAGATTCTGATCTGTCAATAACATCTCCATCAAAGAGAGAGGTCATCAGATTCTGATCTGTCAATGACATCTCCATGGAAGAGGGAAGTCATCAGATTCTGATCTGTCAATGACATCTCCATGGAAGAGGGAGGTCATCAGATTCTGATCTGTCAATGACATTTCCATGGAAGAAGGAGGTCATCAGATTCTGATCTGTCAATGACATCTCCATGGAAAAGGGAGGTCATCAGATTCTGATCTGTCAATAACATCTCCATGGAAGAGGGAGGTCATCAGATTCTGATCCGTCAATAACATCTCCATGGAAGAGGGAGGTCATCAGATTCTAATCTGTCAATCACATCTCCATGGAAGAGGGAGGTCATCAGATTCTGAACTGTCAATGACATCTCCATGGAAGAAGGAGGTCATCAGATTCTGATCTGTCAATAACATCTCCATCAAAGAGAGAGGTCATCAGATTCTGATCTGTCAATGACATCTCCATGGAAGAGGGAAGTGATCAGATTCTGATCTGTCAATGACATCTCCATGGAAGAGGGAGGTCATCAGATTCTGATCTGTCAATGACATTTCCATGGAAGAAGGAGGTCATCAGATTCTGATCTGTCAATGACATCTCCATGGAAAAGGGAGGTCATCAGATTCTGATCTGTCAATAACATCTCCATGGAAGAGGGAGGTCATCAGATTCTAATCTGTCAATGACATCTCCATGGAAGAGGGAGGTCATCAGATTCTGAACTGTCAATGACATCTCCATGGAAGAAGGAGGTCATCAGATTCTGATCTGTCAATAACATCTCCATGGAAGAGGGAGGTCATCAGATTCTGATCTGTCAATGACATCTCCATGGAAGAAGGAGGTCATCAGATTCTGATCTGTCAATAACATCTCCATGGAAGAAGGAGGTCATCAGATTCTGATCTGTCAATGACATCTCCATGGAAGAGGGAGGTCATCAGATTCTGATCTGTCAATGACATCTCCATGGAAGAAGGAGGTCATCAGATTCTGATCTGTCAATAACATCTCCATGGAAGAGGGAGGTCATCAGATTCTGATCTGTCAATAACATCTCCATGGAAGAGGGAGGTCATCAGATTCTAATCTGTCAATAACATCTCCATGGAAGAGGGAGGTCATCAGATTCTGAACTGTCAATGACATCTCCATGGAAGAGGGAGGTCATCAGATTCTGAACTGTCAATGACATCTCCATGGAAGAGGGAGGTCATCAGATTCTGATCTGTCAATGACATCTCCATAGAAAAAGGAGGTCATCAGATTCTGATCTGTCAATGACATCTCCATGGAAGAGGGAGGTCATCAGATTCTGATCTGTCATTAACATCTCCATGGAAGAGGGAGGTCATCAGATTCTGATTTGTCAATAACATCTCCATGGAATCATGATGAAAGAATTCCATGAACCTATGAAACAGTCATTGGCTCTGATGCCTGATTCAGTATACATGTTTACAAGGTGGCACCCTGTTACCCCTTAATTTACATTTGAATCATGTGAGTTGTTGTTCACACCGTTTTAGCATTAATCCTGCCATCTCACTGCAAGGGCCACACAGATTGTTTTTAACACATTGTACTCATGTTGGGAATCATACTCAGGTTTGGAACCTGACAAGCAAACTCTTTAATTGCTTGGCTACCCAAGAGCTTGCATGCCAGATTCCATGTTCAAGAATACAGCCATGTCATGAGACTGGTGACAGATGATCCAACTGACCAGGTGACGAGTATGTTCACACAGTTGAGATGACCTCGGTCGGCAGCAGCATGAAGGGCAGATGATCCCCACTTGACCCTGGCATCAATTCTACACCTAGATTTCAGCAGTGTTTCGCAGATCTTCCAATGGCCCCGACATGCCCCCCAGTAAAGCGCTGTAGCGTCGTCTTTGTCACAGGCCTCCGTGGACGATCCCAAGCTCAGCAGATTCTCCACATTGTCATGGTAACCATTTTTGGCAGCAGAGATGAGATCGGACATGATGACATCTTCGTTGTTTGTCAGGGAGTGTAGATGAGAAGCTCTCAAGGGATGATGTTTAATGGGTCCTCATTTCCTGGATTTTGTGCAGCCCCTACAACAACAAGAAGATATTCAGACAAGGAAACAAGAAGATATTCAGAGACAAGGAAACAAGAAGATATTCAGACAAAGAAACAAGAAGATATTCAGACAAGGAAACAAGAAGATATTCAGACAAGGAAAACAACAAGAAGATATTCAGACAAGGAAACAACAGGAAGCTATCAGACACTTGAATAGGGAAATATACACCAGACCCCTGTTCCAGAAAGTGATGTTACCCAGTATTATAAGTCCATGTCAAAGAGTGGGTGTTCTGACAGTCAAAGCGCTAACAGGACATGGGACAATTGCAGTGTTGAAGGGCAATACATTTTTTCAAAGATTGGTTCATGGAGCCACAACCGTAAGATAAAGTAGAAACAACGTGTGAAAGGAACCAAACATCTGCATACAAGGCATCAATCAATTAACATCCGAGAGTTTTGCTTCCCAGTGCATGGGACATTTACATTAATTTGGATTCACTTCACATTCACCTCTGTCAACCCATTTAATCTATCGTATAAACACAGTTATAATCCCTCGTGTATAACATTACCTGCTGGATTCCGTGTGCACGTGTATATGCTGGATTCCGTGTGCACGTGTATATGCTGGATTCCGTGTGCATGTGTATATGCTGGATTCCTACAATGACTATGTTCCCTTGTACATACATAGAGCTGCCCAAGTTGAACTTGGACTGTTCTCACACATAACGTATATACATGTTAATGTCAAAATAATAACGCCCTTGCAATTTATATAGCATCCACAATGCCACAACCTAAATGGTTATTCTCTTTATTACCTAAATTAAACATGTGGCCTGGGACAGACACAGAAACTCCATACATACCAATTTTGTGTTTCAAACAAATGTACACACAATAGCAACAATATGCCAAGTCAGCACATAGCGCTGCCCTTGAGCACCTCACATGGCTGGGCTTTAGCCAGCGTTAATGGGTATACAGTGACACGTTGTCTCAACTGTGAATGATCGCTGACAGTAAAGACACGATACAAAAGTGAAAAGACACACACAACTGTTGGTTGTTTTGAGATTGAGGTAGTTTAATGAAAGAAGAATAACTCAAATACTAGACACATTAGCATCACCACTACAGATTCATTTAAATCAACTTTTAAAAATAACTATTTGATTGAACAATGCTTCTATTATGAATGGGTGCCTCATAGCTTTTTTTGTATTCAACTTGGCTTGTCTTAAGAGGCGTCCAAGATGGCCTACAGGTGGCCTAAGTGTCTGTCTGGTATTAATAGTGACGTGATCATCTGATGTATTTGCCATTGTGAGTTGATGCTCGCATCATCAACCACTGGTTTGCCTGGATCACATAGCTCCATTGTTTCAGACTATTGTGTTCGACATATAATCCTCTAACTAGGATGTGATCATCATCACTTCATCACTCGGGTCATATATAGTTATATAGTTATATTAGTTATATAGTTAAATAGTTTAAGTTATAGGAAATATATTCATGACATTTATAATATTTCTTATTTCATTGTTTTGTTTAGCCTCTTGAGCAACAAGATATTTAGAAAAAGGAACGTCATGCCAGACAAACTTAAGGAGACCATATGACAGGGACATACAGGGGGTCATAGTGCTAAGATCACTTTGTGGACTGGTAACACTATACTGGATAATACACATGCATCTGCTTCTGTCACAGAAGGCTTAGATCTATTTATAAGGTGTCTGCAGTGGCCTAAATACAATGCATCTCTTCATATATTATTTGAAAGGTCAACAGTTTTTGTTTGTTTCACATATCGAGTCGAATCCTTTCATTTTTCTGATACATCCAAGATAAAGCAGCCAGGAAAAATAAATTATACTAAATCTAATTTAAGCTCATTTTCTTATAGTCTTTTGGCACATTTCAGTCAAATCTGTAAACATAAAATATTAAAAATTTGCATGGTGACACCTGCAATAGTACTGGGATTATACTATGTCATCATGGTGACAACTGCAATTAAGTACTGGGATTATACTTTGACATGGTGACAACTGCAATAGTCCTGGGATTATACTATGTCGTCATAGTGACAACTGCAATAGTACTGGGATTATACTTTGGCAACATGGTGACACCTGCAATAGTAATGTAATATATACTATGTCATCATGGTGACAACTGCAATAATACTGGGATTATACTTTGGCAACATGGTGATAACTGCAGTAGTACTGTGATATACTATGTCGTCATGGTGACAACTGCACTAGAACTGGGATTATACTCTGGGAACATGGTGACAACTGCAGTCTTACTGTGATATACTATGTCGGCATGGTGACAACTGCACTAGTACTGGGATTATACTTTGGCAACATGGTGACAACTGCAGTAGTACTGTGATATACTATGTCGGCATGGTGACAACTGCAGTAGTACTGGGATTATACTTTGGCATGGTGACAACTGCAATAGTATTGGGATATACTATGTCGGCATGGTGACAAATGCAATAGTACTGGCATATACTATGTCGGCATGGTGACAACTGCAATAGTACTGGGATATACTATGTCGGCATGGTGACAACTGCAATAGTACTGGGATATACTATGTCGGCATGGTGACAACTGCAATAGTACTGGGATATACTATGTCGGCATGGTGACAACCGCAATAGTACTGGGATATACTATGTCGGCATGGTGACAACTGCAATAGTACTGGGATATTACCTCACCCTTTTCAATTTGCATGAACACAAGTACTGCAACAAAGGTCCCATGATTATATAATTGATGATGTAAAACACATATATTGGTTATCTTTAGGAGAATTGTATATAACTGATATATTTCTTGAAATAAGGGAGTCTCAAGGTGAAACTATAATAGATGTTGGTAATTTATGAAAGCTTGTTATTCTTGAATAGAGAGAGAGCTTAACTTCACTGACAATGAACAGTCAATGTCTACAATGTTGATAAGTATATTTACCGATGTTTCAGTGTGCTGACTGTTACATGCACCTACATAATCAGTAACACTCACAAATCTCAAAACAAATAAACTTTTTAATGAAGGACATACATATGAAAACTAGTTTTTACTCCAAAGATATGCCCTAAAACTCACAACCCTACCAAGATTTTGTTCCCAAAGATGCACATTGTATGACATACCAACATTTCAGTGACGTGGACCTAAGTGAGGCCTATTAGCTGATTTGTCATGCACTAACAAACTATAAAATTATCATAATCACCAGGACTGTTTTCCCATTGTCGGCATCAAGGACATCCTTAATGTAATCTCCTTGATGTATCAGGACCCAAACAGCTCACCGATCCACTGTATGACTTATCATGTAGTGATTGACCATCAGACCCAGTTCCTGGTCAGTGTTACGTCTCCCAGATCTTTACCAGAATGGTCCAGATCAACACCTCTAGCAAACAGGATACACACATATCATACGATCAGTGCTGACAAAGGACTTGACAGTTGAGCTGTGGGAATCCCAACACATACTCAAGAACAGGTTTATACAATAATAATTTGGGGCTTCCCCTAAACATTAGACATTCACTCAGACAGTCATATGACCATGCTATGGATCACTCACAGATCTTCAACCAGGACGTAAACGTGTAAAAAATGTTTACAAACAGGATCAAAACAAGGTAAACGAATGAACGAGCTACATTTAACTGCTGAATTAAAGGATGGAGATTATCTCTTTATAATATCATTTACTGGCTAAAGTGTATTCACACTTGCTCAACATTTTTCCAACAATTTTTGCCAAGACAGCCTTTGTCATACTTAATAGACGTGTTACATATTTTCATAAGGGACTTCTACCATCATGTGTCCATGTCCAGGTTTAGACTTTGTAATTAGTGCCATGTGGGAACTGACACTGCCTCCGTATCATCAGTATTAATATTGACTTCCAGCTTGATACACATCATATAACATTGGAGCTGGCCGACAAACACAACAGAGGTTTTATTGTAATCAGGCCTATCACATGGCATATGCAGGGTATGACACTCCCAAAAATTTCAGCCAGACCACAGGACTGGCTAGCTGAAATACTTGCCAGCTCTGACCAAAACCTGCCTGCCCACTATAATCATATGTTTCTCAGGATAAGCTAACGGGGTTTCTTTTTGGTTACATTTTATCATTCATCTTTACATGTGAATTAATGATTATCATCGGGAAATATTTAGAATATTGTCACATATGAAATATAACCCGACCGTCGGGCAGGGGGATTTGAAAATCTGGCAGCCTGAGTTGAAATCAACCCGTATCGGACGGTCGGGCAGGCAGGTATTTCGAACACTGGCATATGATGCCTTACAGTATATCTAGGACTCATTGGAGCTGGCCGACAAACACAACAGAAGTTTTATTGTAATCAGGCCAATCACATGGCATATGATGCCTTACAATATATCTAGGACTCATTGGAGCTGGCCGACAAACACAACAGAAGTTTTATTGTAATCAGGCCTATCACATGGCATATGATGCCTTACAATATATCTAGGACTCAGATCAATGGCAGATTCTTATTGTTCTTATGACGTCATGTTTGCAGTGGGGTCTTATCCAGGAATGGACAATGAGTTCAGTTGTTATATGACCTCATGCTTGAGATGCCGTCAGGACTCCAAGCCTGTCAGTACTCCTAGCCTGTCAGGACTCCAAGCCTGTCAGTACTCCTAGCCTATCAGGACTCCTAGCCTGTCAGGACTCCCAGCCTGTCAGTACTCCCAGCCTGTCAGGACTCCTAGCCTGTCAGTACTCCTAGCCTGTCAGGACTCCCAGCCTGTCAGTACTCCCAGCCTGTCAGGACTCCCAGCCTGTCAGTACTCCTAGCCTCTCAGGACTCCTAGCCTGTCAGGACTCCTAGCCAGTTGGTCTGGGCACTGTACGTGAATTTTTCATTAATTAACTCCATCTTTCAAGATATACTGAACAAAAAAAATGACTAGGGGACT